AACGCAATACAGCAACAGCATTCTCTTGAACTTACCCAAAATAATTAACAACTTACATCCACACAGAAACTCACACACAAATGTTTTTAGCAGCTTTATTTGTAATTAGCAAAAACTGGAAATAATCAACACGTTCCTCAACAGATGAATGGATAAAGTGTAGTAGATCCAAACAATGGAATTTATTCAATATTAAAAGATATGAGTAATCAACCTATAAAAAACATATGGGAGGAACGTAAATTCATATTACCAAGTGAACAATATAACGACAATATAAAAGCTATGTGTGGTCCAATTATATGACATTCCTTAAAAAGCAAAACTACAAGGATAACAAAATGATCAGCAGTTACCAGGGATTAGAGAGAAGAGAAGGATGAAGACACAGTACACAGCGGAATTTTAGGACAGTAAGAAATATTCTTTAGATACTGAAGGAATGGACATACATCATTAAACACTTGCCCAAAGCCATACAATGTATAGCACTGAATGAACCCTAATGTAAAATATGGACTTCCACGTCTAATAACCTGCTAATGATAAAATTCACCAGTTTAAACAAACTATACCTATCTGATGAGGATGTCAATAATGAGAGAGGTTACTGATGTGTGGCTAAGGGATAAAGGAAGAATGAAAGAAATCTCTTTTCAATTTTGCTATCAAATTACACCTGCTGTTAAAAAATCTTGATTTTTAAAAACAACATTAATTTGTTTTACAAAAAAGAAAAAAATAAACAAAAAGTTGGAGTAGATTGACTAAAAATAAGCACCAGGTTCCAAAAAAGTGGGAAAAAATGGTTGTTTTGGTGTGATTTAACTATAATTCAAGAATAATATTTTATTTACATAAAGCTATCTGTTTCCAGCAGTACATCTAGTAAAGATAATATGGAGCCCAAAACCCTTTATGTGACCCCAAAAGTAACCCCTCAGAAGCCTTGGTTGAACTTAACAGTAAAAGGAAGTTAAATTTGATTACCTATTCCATTTTAAACACTCAATATAAAATTATAACCAGAAGTAAAATAGTTACTAATGAGAGACAAAGACAGAGTCAGAGCTCTTTGGATCCTTCTTCCTTAAGATTAAGGAAGATAGGGGGCTGGGGATTTAGCTCAGCAGCATAAGCGCCTACCTTGCAAGCTCGTGGTTGTGAGTCTGACCCCCGGTACCGATAAAAAAAAAGATTAAGGAAGATAAATCTCTGAGAGGGAATGACCCAGAATTCTGGGCCCTTGCTTGCTACTCATTAAAAGTGTGATTTGCATTTTTTTCTGGATCAGGCAAGGACTTAAATGCCATTTTTTGCTATGAACCATGACTCTTCAATAGGTCTTAAAGATGCCCAATACTGATAACTAAAAGCAAAATGAAGCTTGATCTTTATTTATTTCCTTTTTACTATAAATTCTGGGTCAGCTCTAGAAAGTGGTAGGTGGATCACTTAGGAGTATCTGTGTAGGTTTCCAGACAGGGTTGGTTAGCTCTAATCTTACCTGATCTCTTTCTCCTTCAAAATGGAGGACACCAAGATAAGAGATTTATGGGGGCATTCAGCTACACCTAAAAGTCTCCAGTCATTGTCCTGAGCTTGTGATCACCTAGAATGCGGTAAATGCCTTTCTGAGACCATATGACTGAGACCACCTCAGACAGAGACAGCAACCACACAGACAGTGCTTTCCCACGAACAAATTCATCCCTTAGCCATAAAAATCCAAAAAGTATGACCCCTGAAATGAGACAATGGACAATGGGAACTCAGCCCACCAGTTATTCTTAAAAGTTGGCCTCCTGGCTTTGCCTGATTTTGCCAATAAGCCAGTCTGGACCCTATCAGAGTATGCCCTCCTACAGCTATCTAGGCAGATATCTTTCTTATCTTCCCTCTAACTTTCCAAGCCAAGGTTTCTTTTTCCTGTTGTCTTAGTTACTCTTCGATTGCTGAGACAAAATAACTGACACCCAATCTTAAAGGAGGAAAGGCTTATTTAGCTCACACTTTGTAGTGGTTTCAGTCATAATTGGCTGGCTGCAAGGCAGAGTGGCAAGGCAAATAGGCATCACAGAGGAGCAACCGTTCACAGCAGGCAGAAGACAGCAAAAGAGACAAAGTAGCAAAGAAGCAAGTCCAGATGGCTTTAGCAATTTCTTTCTGCCCCTTTTATAATCTTTCTAGGCTACTGGGTTTAAGGCAGATGTCAAACCAATCAGTGTACTGATTTAGTAATCACACAACTTTAATCCTAGCACCCTTAAATCCCAGCACTGCACCATGAATTATTCATGCATTCTAGATCCAGCCACCTCTGCAAAAGCCCCATCTTTGACTGCAGGAGGCTTTGGGGGGGACATTAGACACAAAGCAGTGTAACACATTAGAAAGAAAGAAAAACAAAGAGAGAGGAAGGAAGAAAGGAAGGAGAGAAAGAGGGAAGAAGAAGAAAAATACAGAGATAAAGGAAAGAGAAAAAGAAAGGGAAAATGAAAGAGTGACAAAGAGAATGAGGAGTGAAAAAAGAAACAAAGAAAGAAAAAAGAAAGTAAGAAAGAAAGAAAGAAAGAAAGAGCAGGCAAGAAGAAAAGAGAAAGAGAATTCTGTACTAAACCTTCACCAATGTGGAAATCCAAATTTATACTTAAAAAATAATCCTGTCATTTTGAATTAAGAGTTTTTATGCTAATTACATATTTTATGGCTCCAATATGCAAAAGCATCCTTTAAAGGACTGCATTCTGAATTCTCAGTGCATATGTGTGTATCTGTGTGTATGTTTGTGTGGTGTGGTGGGGACTCAAAGGTAAGAATCATATAAGATACATACTTCAGGGGTATTCACTTTCTTTAAAAGACTTTTAGGTCAAAAGAATTCAGGGTATCTAATTTTAGGCAGCTAAGAAAAATCTATGCATGAATGTTCTCATTTACTTCTCACAGCAAAGTAGATAAGTAGGTAGACTTATCTTTGTTTTGCAGATAACAAAACTAAGGTTAAAAAAAAAGTAACAGTCAAATTCAGAACACCTGCATGTAGCAAAACGTACGCTTATCCACAGTGACACGCTATAATATCTCACTCTGTACATTATTATCTAACACAACTAGAATATTTGGACACAATGAGAGTTCAAAACAAATCAAGTAATATATATGACAAATTTTCCTGATCCTCCTTGACGTTTCATTCTCTCTGGCCCTAATCCATCCTAATCTTTACAGCACTCCAGTTCCGCATCTCCTACTAGGCCTCTACTTGGCCTTCCAACAGGAGCTGCACTGGAGGTAACAGGTGAGGATCCTACCCCCTCATCTATCACCTCCGTGGTAGGGCTACAGATGGAAAATATTCAGGCTTAAAATGGACAAGACATATGAGAAAACCACATTTGGAAATTTTTTGAAAACTTAAATTTTCTTATATGAAACCCTGTCAAATGGCCATACATAAATATCCAATGAAAATGTGTTTACTGTGAAACATTTATGTTGCATCATGTAATGATCAAATGAAAATGCCAGGTAGAATGATACTGAGCTAATTCACCCCCCTGAGAGTGCAGATCATAATAATTAACTTCATATCAATGTTCTCTTATTTTATCCTAAAAACTATGACGTAGGTGCCACTGTCAATCCATTTTACAGTTTAGAAAACAACAAAATGAAAATCGGAGAGATAAGATCACAAAGCAAAGCATAAGGGCCGCTGGAGAGAGAACCTATGAACCTGTTTCCAGAGTCGATGCCCAGGATAACTACGTGGCCACTTTCTGCTTCCAGACTTTGAAAACAACCACACAAACACTCAGGGTATATTTTTATTTTAAAATGATTCTAAAAAATAAGAACCTCAGCTTGTATTTTTAACTTGAATCAAATCAGGATAAAATACCACAAATTTTAACAACTGTTCTTCTACCTTAGTAAAAAGTGTAATCAAAAAATATGGTAAATATTTAAATTTCAAAATTTATCACAGTAAAAAAAAATCACATTGCATTAAACTGCCTCAAAAGTACTTTCCTTACTTGAAACACACTTGTCACTTTGTGAAGCAATTGTGGAAGTTCTCTGTCACGTTTTTTATGTGACATGGTCCAAAATATGGTTAATGCTACTACTGGGTGCTCTCCAAAGGCCCAAAGGCAAGATTGTCATCCATCTTATTCACGAGATCTGGCACTGTGTGACTTCTGGCTCTTCTCAAAAGTCAAAATGACAGTGAAATATTTTGAACTGAATCGGGACCTTGAGGCAGGCTTGAACCACACAACTAAAGACAGTCACAAAAAGGACTTTCAGAACTGCTCTACAAAGCATAAAGAATGATGGAAAAAGTGTTTTTGAGGTCAAATGGAGAAGTATGAAGTAAGAAGGGAGAAGTAATAGGAAAGGGTCTTTCAGTCTAACAATTTTTTAAATTAACTATTAACTATAATTTTGAATCAGATCTTGTATTAGAAACAACCCAAATGTAGTTTGAAGTGGAATCATCACCTTTAAATGAACATTTCACGTTCTAATTTTCAAGCAGTTAAACTCTATCATAATATTTATTCTCCTTTATTTATTTAGACCTAGGATTATAATACGCTGGCCTTGAACTTATTATCCTCCTAAAATCAATCTCCTGGGTAATGGTACTACAGTTATGCAAACCATGGCCATACTATCATTATTTTTAGGACTTGGAAACCTAGCATGGTCCTCCTGACCTTTATAAATAAAATGATTGCTTTCACGAAAGAATCCCTTTCTGGTTGGGGAGCCAACTTTTAAACATTATAATAAAATAAGTCATGAGTTATACTTATTTTATATAGTTTTCCTAACAATCCTCATTAAACTTAGAGGAGAATAAATTAAAATATATGATTAAAAAATCAAGTTAGTGACAGCAGGTAATACACAGAACAGGAAGCTTACACATTTAAAATACAAAAATGTATACTTCAAACAAAATACTGGGTATCTCTTGGCTTTCTCACCTGAGAAAATACAGATAGTAACACCGCAGGTTATATGGAACGCTCTGCTTTTATCCAACAGTCTTCTTGTCCTCCTGCTTGGAACCTAAATAAAAATTATTTCATATGGTAAAAACAATGCAATCAATAAGATACTGTATATGTACAATACTTTCTACTATAACATTTTGATGATATTTAAATTTTGCAAATACAGCTGATGCTTAGTAATCAAAAATTAGTGAAATTAACTTGACATAGCTAGTAAATGAAATACTTAAACCATTAAGAAATGTGAGAAAGTTATGTGATTGGTTTCAAAATAAAGTAAAATATATTGTTAGGGTAAAAGAAGTTACAAAACATAAATTGCACTGTGATCCTGATTGTTCAAAATTAGTAGCACTGTATGCCTCTGCAGGCATTTATCCCAAACTATCATCTGCTGTTGTTCTGGCAGAATAAGATTAGCAGAAATTTTTCTAACCATATTGCATGGGACGTTTGAACCTCCTAGTATATAGGACTTCCCTTTGTATTAAAAGAAGATTATTCTTAAATGAGGCAATCTCATCTAAGGTCTTAAATGCCTGCTTGGTCTTGTAAAAAAATAAATGTCAAGCATCTTTGGATATCTGTGCTTCACACTTGGATACAATTCTTTGAGACATTTAATACTGAGAGATTTAGGTGGGAACTTTTCATTTCCAGCTAATCTCTTGCTTCATGCCAAGCCAATGGCCGGTCGCAAGGATCAAAACCTAGCATTTTATAATAGTAGGCAACCTAGGGCAGTTATTTCTACAAATTACTGCATTAAAAATAAAGAGTTTCAAATATAATTACATGAAAAGATTGAGAAGTTTTACTGGAGTAAATTCGCACAAATGAACTTCAAAGAGCATTTTAATAGCTCTGCTTAAAAAGTCATTATCTATCCAGCAGTGCTTTATTTTAGTAAAATAAACTCATGTATGCATACACATGCACGCGTGCACGTGCGCGCGCACACACACACACACACACACACACACACACACACTGAAGCATATACAAGAATAAAGACATAAAACTTTAGCTGTTTTTAACAGAATGACTGCTAAAGGCATTTTTCGGTTTTCTTATATCCTCAATTTTACAACCCTAATCAAGATTTTTTTTCAAGCTCAGAACGGGTATGTGGTGTTTAACTGAGTAAGCTGTGACCACTATCCATCATTCCATGTTTGCTCAAAGGCCATAAGACTCTACTTTGTTCAAGGAGACATGCTGTAGTAATAAGAACACATGACTGGATTTTCACTTTAGTTTCAGTAGTCACTAGTCTCGTGATCTTGATTAAATAACTTATACCCTTTATCTCAGATTCTTTATATGTAAATAGAAATGTAATATGATCTTTCCTATTGCTGAGACAAAATATCTGACACCCATGAATTAGAGAACAAGAGGCCTTTTTTGGTTCAGAGTTTCAGAAGATTCACTTCATGGTCAGCTGGCTATGAGATACAAATGTCACAGCAAAGGGGCGTAGCAGAGGACAGGCGCTTGTCTCACAGCAGGTCACCTGCCCAGTGGCTCACCTCTTCCAACCAGGCCCCAGCTCCTAGTAGCACATTCAGCTATGAGCTCACAGTGGATCAATTTCCTGATGAGTATAGCACATCCATGATCCAATCACCTTCCAAAATTTCCACCTTTGAACACCTGAGATGTTTTTTTCTTTTTGAGACAGGGTTTCACTATGCAGTTCAGGCTGGCCTTAAACTTGCTTAGTGGCCAGACCAGCCTTGAAATCACAGTGATACTCCAGCCTCAGCTTCCCAAGTGCTGGGAAAACACACGTGCACCACCATGCCAGGCAACATGAGATTTTTGAAAAACGCTATATATATATAAAATCAGAACACAAACAAAAAACAAACTCAGAATCCATGTAAAGACTCATGATGGTGTATACGAAGTGCTAAGCACAGTGTCCAAATACACTGCTAATGAAATTTCTATTATCTTCTGCCTTTAAGGCTGCAGAAGAGTCCAGTGATCATCTTGATAGCATGTCCTTTAGCATCTTGCTTAAAGAAATCGCTACAGATCATAAAAACTAAGCAGAGCTAATACATGACTTTTATAAGTGATTTTCATGTTGAAATTTATGGCTAGGATTTTTTTCTTACCTTCTGAGATCCTCGAAGAAAAGCCAGGAGTGTCCGGCACATGGGTAAAAGGATAAGGCTGCAATTGAGGTTAAGAACGGCAGCAGAGGCTCTGCTTAGACACAATCCTAGCTGAACAAACAAGGCAAGAGTCAAATACAGTAAAGTACAAACATAAAAAACAGCCATGACCTGTGTGTGTCAGGTATCTCCTTTTCTTCCTTTAAGGATCATGGCAAATTCCAGTTCCTTCATGAATCTTAAATAACCTTCCCCTTTCCTTTCACCAAAAAGTTCCTATAAAAAAAGAACTCGTCTCTTTCCGCTCTGAACTTCAAGAAAACTTAGTTCTCCTTTCATTTTTGATGGCTTTTATCGTCACCTGAATACATCCTTTCGATTCAAGATCTATTTCTGCTCTGGGTTTTAAGAACCTCAGAAAGTCTCAGTACTGTATTTTCTGTACCTCCATACAGCATTGAACCTTTTGTTCACAGTTAAGGTCACAAGCATTTTAAGTGAAGCATTTTCATTTGTGTTCTCTTGGAATTATTTCAGCAACTACACAACCCATTCAGCAACCCACACCACCATCTGCCTTTGAGGTCTTCATTTCTCTGTCTCTAATCTTTCAGGTTTCAATTAAGCACTGCTCCTCCTGAGTTCCTCCCCGACTTGAAAGCTAGAAAGATCCCACTGTGATAAACACTCTCAATACTTCCTGTACTTTACAAATTATAAGGTCTTTTAACACTCTATCCAACTGTCTCTTTTAAAGTTCTATTTCATTTTTAATGGAAAATTAATAACAGTACATATTTACAGAGTGTAATGTGATGTCTCAATGCATGAGTACATTGTAGAATGATCAAAGTATGCTAATGAAGATATGTTTCCTTTCAAATACTTGTCATTTCTTTATAGTAAGAACATTTAAAACCCATTATTTTTACTATTTCAAAACATATCATACATTATCATTAACTGTAGTCATCAGATTATATGATAAATCAGTATAACTGATTCCTCCTAATTGAAAATTTGCATCCTTCAAATCACATTTCCCCTCTCCTCATCAAATTCCCAGTTCTGATAACCATCATTCTACTCTACTTCTAGAAAATCATTCAACTATTTACATTATAAGCATAAATTATACTATGAGTATTTCTCCTGTGTCTTATTTTACTAAGCATAATATCTCTTAGGTTCATGTATGTTGTCACAAATGAGCAATCTTAATTAAGATAATACTTAAGTAAACTGAGATACATTAATGTATGTCTTGGATATTGTATGCACCAGTTTTTTAGTACCATTTCCATTTTTTTAGAATTCATTTAAATCATTATTTCACATTCAAGTAAATGAGGAATATTACAGAACAGAATTCAAAAATACTAGAAAATATATATTGATCTGTTCTTAGTGGCCACATACTTCCTGGCTACTCTATATTTATTAGCATGTTAAATTTCCTCTAAAAACTGTGGAAAGTCATTCCATTAGGCAGTACAGCTTGCTGTAATGTGTTAAGGCAGCAGTGTAAAACTAATACATTAAAATGGAGCTCAGACTTCATTGAAGCATTATCAAAAATGTCAGCTCACATAATCAAAAGCCTTATTCCACACAGTGAGGATGAACTGTATACTTTGATTTTGCAGTAAATTATTAAAAGATCAAACTTTGAAGTCAGAACTCTTTTTTATGAGATATCTAACCATGTCTTTTACTACCTGACTGTAAACATGTTATAAACTTTTCTAAAGAATAGGACACAAAACTACTACCAGTACATTTCAAAATGTATCATACTAATTATTTTCTCCAATAATATAATCAATTTAGATGTAACAATACATAATTGAAAATTCATTAATTTCAATAATTTGAAAAAATCTAGCAATATCTGCATAGCACACAGGAATCTTAGGTTCAGTCTGCCATTCTGCAAAAACAAACAATGACAAATAAAGAACACTAGCAATTTTGAAGCTGATGAGCTTATATTAAAAATACTGAGCTCGCAATGTAGTTCAGTGACAGGATGCCTGCCTTGTTTGCACAAGGCCCTGGTTCAATCATTAGTAAAGCAAAAACAAAACAAAACAAAATGGACAAAGACAAGATTAAAAGATACAAAAATAACATTCAAATTTGCCCAAAATCAAAAAGTAAAATAACAAAGATTAAAGCACAAAAAAATTGACAGCCTACAAGCAAATTACTACCAATCAGAATAATACAGTGAATATAGTACAGTGGAAGGAAATACAGTCAATGTAAAAATATTATAAAAACATAAACAAAAATGAGTTATTTAAAAGTGCATATAAAAACATAAATAAGCACCTAGCTTAAATAAACAGACCATGTTGGGAACCAAGGGCTAACAGTAAATAGATTCTGTTCATTAAAATAAAAAAGATTATTTATGAAAAGTACTTAATTCAATGCATATCACATACTACAAACTCAATAAATGATAAGACAACGGGTGCAGTATTTTCTAGATCATTACTGAATTCTACATCTCAGATCATCTGTGCATCATGCAATTTAATCATAATTACACTGCATTAATATTTTTCAAAGACTCTGTCCTTTTTTGTATTGATACAATAATTGAAACAACTAATTTTAATCAAACTCTTGCTAGATTTTTATCTGCTATTGTCTAGTAACACCCATATGCTTTATATGTTTCTGAGTTCCTTTACTCTCATTGATGAGACAAAATATTCAACACTCAAAATTAAAGGGGGAAAGATTTATTTACCTCAAAGGTTGTAGAGGTTTTAGTCTATAACCAGTTGGTGCCAAGCAGAGTGGCATGGAGGACAGGCATTACAGAGAAGAAATAGTTCATGGTGGGCAGAAAGCAGCAAAGTAAGCAAGAGGGGACCGCAGCAATTTTTATCCCTTATATCTTATCCAGCCCACTTAGTAGGACTCACACCCTTAATCCTAGTGCCTCTGAGCTTAGCACTGCACCATGAATCAATTCCAGTATCACATTCTCTAGATCCACCCACCGCTGAAAAAGCCCCACTTTAGACTGCATGAGGTTTTGGGGGAGTCTCTAGATATGGCCACAACAACACAAATGCTTTATCAGAAGAAATCAAAAGGTAGCATCATATCTGTATATTTGTCCTGAAATAGGTACAAAATGACTCTCTTTTAAGGATATTAACTAAGAAACATATGAAACAGAGATGTATTTCTTTTGAAGTTTTATCCATTAGAGTTTCAGCTTAACACACAAAATATCAACTCTGTCATAGAGTATTGTCATTATATGAATTATTGTTCCTGAAGGGGGTACAGGGTAATAACTAGTATTTGTGAAGAAATAAATAATTGTTACTGAAAGATTTAAAAAGCAATATACGCAGTCAAGCTATTTCTGCAAGATGAGCTGGAACATTTTAGAGGTACAGTTCAAAGAATATACTAACAAGTGGGTGAACAGGTACAATTCTCTCTGGACTATCTAATAAAAATGAAAAGTATAATTTTCTCACTTCAGTCAATAAAGTTATTATCACTTGAGAGATATGAGTTTTGTTGTTTATGTAGACCTCCACAGAAATAGAACAATTGTTACTTCTTTTGATCTGGCATCTGCATATGGTAAAATGTGAGCTCAGAGAATTTTAGACGAGTTTTACTATGCAATTTTAATATATCAAGACAGTAAGTTCGTTTAAAATATATGAACTAAAACCTATCACAAAAGTATAAGATTTTAAATAAATGTTATATATCCTTTGGGGTTTGGTGTTTTAAAGAAAATTCATATGCTTCATCATTTCCTAACTACTGCACATCTAGAAGTATTTAATTATTGTGTTTACATTAAATAACACTCTCATTTCATTCAAAGTATCTTTAAATGTCCCCTTGGGAAAACTGGAGTTTACTACAGCATCCTACTTCTTCCTTATGATGGTAGACACGCCGATTGGAAATGCTACTAAAAATCTATTTCCACATATGCTCGTTGAATATAAATAGTTCTTTTAAACAAAAGCAAGATTTCTTTTTTATCATGTTCCCAGTGGAAAAGTGAGGAAAACAGAAACAAATCCATTTTCAAACAGCACAATTATAAGCAAAAAATTGTATCACTTTAGTACATGGGTAATATTGCAGTAGCTAAATTTTATTAAGAAATATGTAACCAGTTAATCCCTGAACTCCATAAGCATCTGTCATCTCAAATATTCACTAAAATGGAGCAACTGTTCCAAGTAATCTGTCTCGCTTACTCTGTGTGAAATGATTTTACCTTTACCTGCTACTCCAAGAGTTCTCAAACTCCATCAAGTCGACTGTCACTAGAGGGCAGTGTTATTTTCATATTTCAAATCCCACCTGTCAAGTTTTTCCAGATACGTAATTGGAATTCCAGATATAATTTTTAAAGTATAAATTTATTTTAAATGAACAACCATGGATAAAACATTGCTCAACCCTTGTTCTGTAGTGTATCTTGTGTTCCTCAAACATATTACTGAAGTCCTAGTCTTCAGTATGATAGTATTTGTAGAGTCTTTGGGATGTAATTAGGTTTAAATGAGCTCAAGAGAGTAGAGTCCTCTAACAAGATTAGTGTCCTTAAAAGAAGAGAAACAGAATGGACCATGGAACTCTGTCCCTGTCCGTCTTCTACCTATCTTCACCAGGATGCTAAGACAGAGCCAGAAGAAAGGTAACCATCTGCAAACCAGGGACCTCGTCAGAAATTAAAAATGGTGGTTGCTTGATCTTGGATTTCCTAGGATCAAGAACTGTAAGAAATAAATGTTTAAGACACCCAGAGTATATTACTTCATTATAGTAGTCCAAAATAAGATCGCCCTGTAAAAATTATTTAAAAATCTGAAGTAATGCCATTTGAAGTAAATTATGAAATGATATAACATTTGGGTAGATATCCATGATTATTTTCACAGTCTCAAGCATGTAGCTGCTTATCTTAAATAAGCTCATTACTTATTAACCCTGAGTTAGTTCACTGATCACATCTATAAAGATGAAAAGGTTAAAATTCTCTTATTTATAAATATAATCTATTATAATAAAATAGGATACAAATGATATGTAGCAAAATTATGTATTAA